CTGCCTGTCCACCTGCATTCACCGTAGTGTGACTTACTGTAGGCCTCCTGGTGGGGTACACTGACTTAAGGGGGCGGCAGTGGGTGGATTTTGTTCAGATGAATGTATTCCTCTCAGTGGACAGCGGCCATTTACAATCTCATCTCGAAAGATCACATACACTGATTTCTTCTCTTCTCTACCCCCGGAGCCCCCTTTATTCTCCACCCCCTCCCCCAACCTCTGGATCGTTGGAGAAATTTCCACATAGTTCCGAATGGCAGCAAATACTCCCAAGTTATGTTCACACTTATGGATGGAGCTCAGACACTTAGCCGATTTTGCCTTTTTGCTGTTCTTTATTTTATTGTTTTTGTTATTATAATTATTATTGTTGTTGTTGTTGTTTTTTTAGATTTTTCCTATTTGTTTGTTTCTGTTTGTATTTTTGTTGTTGTGAAAATTTAAGATGTAGAGTGAAAAATATGGTGTTTAGAAAAGAGAGTGAGAGAGAAACTGAACGTGGGGGGGAAGAAAACACTGCAGAAGACTGGTTTGAATGGTGAATTCTAAGATTAGATTAATTAAAGAGGTTTATATAGTGTATTAAATTAAGTTTTATTTTCTGTATAGATTCATTTTAATTATTGTAGATTATTCTTTATCTTAGTAGCAAGAAGAAGAATATTTCTAAAATTGTGAAAGAGGCACTTCTTTTTATAATTTTAACAGCAATGGTTGTATTCTTTCTGAGAAGATTCTTCTATTAACCTGAATGGTGGATTTTGCTTTGGTCATGTAGTTTCAGAAGATGTCAAAATCAAATATAGTTTGAAATTAATTACAGAGTTTGTACATAACAATAAGTAAAATCGTTTTCTTTCCTATTTATTTTATTCCCTGGGGCTTAACGTCTCTCAGCCTGGTCCCCAACTGCCTCCTAAAGCAGAGCAGTGTTTTGGGGGGAGGGGTTGTGTGTGTGTGTTTTTTGAGGAAGTGGAGGGAGAACCTTCACCTTCTTAAAGTTCTGGTACAGTGCAGACAGGGGTGCGGGCGGGAGGTAGGGAGGGTTGTAAATGGGTGTGCTGTGTATACAGTGTACAGATTATCGCTTGCTTCTCTGCCTTTAGCATAGAACACAACAAAAATAAATAAAAGAAGGAAAAAAATCAATTCAACACAGCCATACAGTAAAAAAAAAGAAAAAAGAAAAAAAAGATAAAGTGTGCTTTCTATGTTGTCTGGAGTGGAAAAATGCTTCATACAAGCTGCTAGGTGCAAACTGTTCTGTGTGTTGTAAACAAGCAATAACAATTACTTGAGAATCTTTTGGTTTGGTTTTTTTGGTTTGGTTTTTTTTTGTAATTTTTGTACAGTTTCCTGGGAAAAAAGGACACGTTTTTCCTCTGCGTTTGGATGCAGTATTAAACACAGTTTTTTATTGCAGTTTGTACCAAGAAAGTCTACATCCACAGACACACACACATACACAGCACACACACACACACAGCGTTCCTATTAGATTATGCAGCATAGGCTGAGATCTGGAGAGGGAGTTAGTTTGTGGTCCCCATATTGACACATGCCCTCTCTGCCTCCAGCCGTTCTTCTATAGCAGAGGTCAGAGTTAAGACTGCACGCTTCACAAGAGCTGCTCTGACAGACACTTAGCCATATTTTATGACCTCAGGCAGTTAGTTCACCTATAAAGTGTTCAGTAATGACCTGCTTGTTCTTGTGCCCCACCAGACGGGGTGGTTGGTTTGGCCTTCACAAGATCTAAAGCGAGTCATCTTCTCTAACCTCAGAAGATTTTCCTCAAAAAAAAAATAAAAAACTTTTTATATCGACTATTTTAACCCAGGACAGACTTTGAGCAAGCCAAATAATCTTCACATTTCAATTGGATTTCTGAAATCTACTCATTTTCTTTTTATTTATTTATTTTTTCTAAGTAACCATTTGATGGTTACCATGGTTTGGCCCACAGGAAAAACAAGAAATTTGTGATGATGTCACTCAACAGGGTCTGATGTAAATGTTACATCATAAAACAGGAAGAGAATCACTCTGAATGTATTGTCCATAAAGGCCTAAGGATGTGACTGGTGGTGCATTGAGGTGTGGACAACATGTGCGGTTACACCGTGCTCTTCTCGGTGTTTCTGACGTTATCCATCGTTGCTTCTTTTTCCTTGTTTTTCCACTTTTAATTTCTGTATGAAATTTGAAGCTGTAGCAATTCAACTGTGGAACAAAGGAAGCCTGCATTAACGCTTTGGTTGTTCTGCAGGTGCTTTTTTTGTTGTTCTAGTTGTTGTCGTAGACCTACAGGAGATCCCACCTTTTTGATAGATGCTGTTTTGATTGTACAAGGAAAAAAAATAAAAGATGCGGCCGTGCAGAATCAGCCTTTTGAGCCATTTTAAAAAAAGGAATCACAGCCCTTTGCAAAATTTCCAAAGATTGTTAAGATTTTAAAAAGACTTAAAGCCATGTTGGTAGCAGTGCATTTTTTTTTTTCTTTTTAGCACTTATAATGAGGACAGGAGCAAATAAATGATTTTTGCCCCTCACAGATATCCAGGCTTTGGACCCATGAATCAAAAATATTTTTTTCCTCTGTAACTTATGGTTTTGAAGAACTTTAAATGCCCTTTTGTATTGTCTGCCAATTTCTTAGAGCTAAGATGCAACCTTGAAATGCTAAAAACCCTAGCATAATGCCTTAGATTTTGTCCGTTCTTGTACATTACACCGCTGTCTGTATAAATTTGTATAATGACTTGTGTACAATATTGAATGGGTGCATCATTGTTCAACTCTTCTCAGCTGCTGGGAACTTGGTCACGGTTCTCCTTTGCTCTCTGTTCCGTGTTGGGTCATCTCCTCGCCCTCCGCTCACTGTTTGTATGGACAAAGGTGATGATACATAGGGATACCGAAGCAATATGTAATATACTCTATGGACTTTCTGAAGAAAGCTTACTGTTGTGTTTTACCCCCCTCCCCCCGAGATATTTTTTCTGCATTCACGAGTCACACTGTATACCCGCATCGATCATTGTACCCCTAGTGTGTGTGAGCGTTTTATGCAAAGTTAGATATACAAGAGAAGTTAAAACCACAGTTATGCAAGTTGTGAACTAATATGGCTTCGCTGATGCTATTTGCCTTGTAAATAAAGAATTCTGTTATTGCATTATTTAATCGAGCGACTCTTTCATTTCCAAGCGCACTAAGATTAGTGTTCAGGTTTTGTTTTTCTAACTGAAACATAAAAAAGTTATTAGCTGGCTACTTAGTGACCTCTTTATTTAGTTTTTCATAGACATAACAAAATTGATCAAATATATTTCAGTATATGATAAGCTATTGTAAATGTTATATAATTGGTAGACTTTTTTTATTAATGTAAAAGATCGCAAGTCATCGAATCGCCAAAAGTTTCGAATGAAATATTTTATTCGCCAGTAAAAACTGAGCTTTTTAAATGGTTTTATGAAGGTGTAGGCCTCTTATGTTTGTTTTCTTTTTCCAAAAAAACACAAGAAGCTCCGCTGATCTAGAGCACAAGAAAATTGCCTGTTTAAAATTAGCAATAAAAACCTTTTGTAAAAAAGCAAACAACTTTACATTTGCACTTTACTGAAGTATTGATGGGGATTGGGTTAAGTTTTTTTTTCTGTATTCAATAAGGAGCAGTGATCTAATAAATGCCTGGTCATTTCCCCACTATTTTTTTTTTATCTCTTCTTTATTTCTAGCGTCTAAGTGTGAAGCACGATAATCCACTCCACGCCTCGTGAGCAAATTGAAATCTTAGGCTCGTTCTCATAATCGGCCTCACTGTGGCAAAGAGAGCCGACTCCGAAGTGCAAAGAACACGGGGGTGGGTTGGCCCTGAGAAAATCTATTCCTATGGGGTGGGTGGCATTGAAATGCATGAGGTTGAGCTGACTCCTGGCCAATAGGAGTAAGGAGATAGCTGTATACGGCATAGGTGCCCTCAGATGACCACAGAGCAGCACATCCTCTCTTAAGTTTCGGCTGCTCCCGGCAGAATCTGAACATTTGTCTGCAGTGTTTGATTTTACAGCACGGGAGGTTGATCAAACTCTGGCCTGTGGGCATGACGGACACATCGCCCGCGTGAAGCTCCTCTAATTTTTTTCAGAAGGTAAGCTTCTTTATTAAAGTTCACAAAATGTTTGTAGCGGTCCGCTTTAATTTCAGTCATCATTTCACATGATTCATATTTGTTTGTACCTTTAAAAAAGTAATTTTAAAGCCCCCCCAGCGGGCATTACGCACTCCTATCGCGACCCTATTTCCCTTCACACAGCGGGCTGATTGTAAAAGTCATTAAAAGCTTCATTAATGTTGACCTCTGCTCTGGCCAGCGGTTCTTTAATTAGTGTCATGACCCTGATTTGTCTCTCTATTTACTGGCTGACTGGTAAACTGTTCCTAAAAAGCACACCACCATGCAGTGGGGTCATCTGAAAAGCCTCTGATGAACATTTGATGTGTGGCTTGTGTGTGACTCCTCAGCTGGAAATAATGCAAAATCGGCTGTCCGAGTTCACTGCGGATTGCTTTCCCCCTTTACTCGATATGTGCGCAGTATTTTCATCTGTCGCCGACAGTTTCATTGCTTTTCATTTTAAAAGAAAAACACTGCGAACCTGTTGTAGATTTCAATTTCTTAGCCGTAATCATCTGCAGTTTGTATCAGTTCCACATTTAACCAGAGGGTTGCCAAGCTTCTTAACACCTTTGGAAAAATCTTAAATTATTTGGAAGAAATGTTCATAACTGGAGAGCGAAGTAAAGTCTTACGTTCATTAAAATAATCAGTTCTGGTGGGTTCGGCCTCTTTTGGTGTCCTGTTTCCTTTTTTAGATTTCTTACATTAAACTTTTATGACTACACCCCCTCCCCTCTACCCACGCTCCCACTTGCTTCTATCTCTCTTCCCCACAGAAGGCTACATCATCTTCTCCATTTGACCCTTTGCCTCACCTCCTGTGCTGTCATGTCGGTGTCCCTGTCCAGCATCCCTGTAATGCTGAAGGAGAAGAGCTATCCAGCCGGCATGCTGAAGGGCAGTCCTGCCCGCGGCTTCTACCCAGCTCCTCTCCCCGGCCCTCATCACTATGTGGACTTCTTCCCGCGTACGCACAACCTTCTCCACCCGCTCAAGTCCCTCGGTCGTCTGGTGTCGGACGCTCAGGCTTCCCTGCCGCTCAGCCTGCACGGCGGGGCCACTCCCTTTCTCGGCCAGGCCGGCCACAACGCCTCGGTCCTCCACGAACACATGTTGAGCGCCTCCAGCATCCCGTATCTGAGCCAGATGTTGCCCGGACACCCACTCTACTCCAAACCGGAGGAGCTGGCTGCTGTGGTGACCGAACACGCCGCCGGTCCGCTGTCTTCAGACTTCAGCAGCCCGTCCAGTGAACGGTCTTCTGCTCCTGCATCCGCCAACACACCGCCCAAGGAGAGCTTCCTTCGGCTCCGGAGCACGGACCATTCCACAGAGAAAAAGGGCGCATCGTACAACTTCAGTGAGGACGACTTGTTCACGGTGCTCTACGGATACTCCGGCAGCCAGGAGCGTAGCGTGGGTCACGCCATATCAGGAGTGGCCCTGCCGGAAAACTCAAGTGAGAATTCAGATTACGGACTATGGATTAAAATGACTGGCGTTTCATTTTGTTTGGTGTGCGATAATAAAAACTGCCCTTGATTTCACGCTAACCCCCCAAACATAAATGTTTCCCTGTCACTACTATTATAGCCGAATATAACACATCGATCAGAATCTTTGTAATGCAGTTAAAGATGAAACACTACTCAAATACTCCCGCTGAAATAGTAACGATAAACCTTTTTTTTATCTCCCTATTTTGTTCACATTTGTTTGTTTTCTCTTTAGTTTCTGACTCACACATTTTCCCACTGGACAAAGAAACTCTTGAACTTCCAGAGGGTAAGAAGCCACCATTTTTATCTATTTATTTATTTGAATCACCTTTTCGTGTGTCCTTGATTGCATGATAGAGTAATGAAATCTGAGACCGCTTTGGCTCTGTGCTGCAGGGTTAACCATTCTCCAGGCATCCTGGGGAAACGCTTCGAGCTGTGGTGTTTTTGCGGATAAACGCAGTATTCCTAAAGGGGCCCGTTTTGGACCTTTCCAAGGAAAACTAGTCAACACAAGCGAAATTAAAATATACGACGATAACACCTTGATGTGGGAGGTAGGGTGGTGAATTGTCTCCTCACAGTACTGGTCTTTATCTAGATTTTTTTTGTCGGTACTTCTAATACTTCTAACACACCCTGCAGGTGTTTGAGAACGGCCGCCTCAGTCACTTTGTGGACGGAAGAGGGGGATCTGGTAACTGGATGTCTCTGGTGAAGTGCGCTCGCTTTCCCGAGGAGCAGAACCTGGTTGCCGTGCAGGTCCAGGGCCAGATATTTTACGAGGCCTGCAAGGAGATCACGCCAGGCCAGGAGCTTTTGGTGTGGTACGGAGACTGCTACATCCAGTTCCTCGGGATCCCCCTCACACTGAAAGACCCTAGAGAGGACAGCAACGCGGTGCCTCCCTCTGAAGGTCAGGATTTAATCTTCTTCACTTTTTTAATCACCATACATATATTTAGTTTGTTTTTTAAAAAAAGTTTTTCCCCAGATTCAAGCGAAGGCTTCAAGTGTGACAGATGTGGGAAGGTTTTTGCGTACAAATACTACAGAGACAAACACCTGAAATACACCCGCTGCGTGGACCAGGGGGACAGGAAGTTTCCGTGTCACCTCTGCAACAGATCTTTCGAGAAGAGGGACAGATTACGGATCCACATCCTCCACGTCCACGAGAAACACAGACCTCACAAGGTACAACATCCCTGCATCCGTCTTGCTTTTGTGAGGGATTTCCACACAAACCTCCCTTTACATGGTTGTGGTCTGTGAAAAGTTTTAGATGGTGCTGAAAGAACAGCTCCTACACTGCGTCACAGGGACCTTCAGATTTTTATTGGACGTAAAAAAAAAAAAAAAAAAGAATAACATTTATATAAGACTTGCATTTTGTTTTGTTTCTGAAAAGCGAAAACAACTCCGAAATGTATTTAAACACATTCACAAAATGAGGTTAGGTTCTTTTTAGCTTTATTTTGAGCTTAATGCATTCGAGTGACACTTTGTGTATGTGAATTTGCTGCAGTGCTCGGTTTGTGGGAAAAGCTTCTCCCAGTCCTCCAGTCTCAACAAACACATGCGCGTGCACTCGGGTGAACGTCCGTACAAGTGTGTCTACTGCAATAAGGTAAGAAGCTTTTTTAAAATTCTTTCTAAAGATGCGTTTGGCTTGACAAAGACGAGACCGTTTGACAATTGGCTCGATGCTAAAGAAAAATAGGAATAAATCCTGGAATTCGACTTAATTGCTGGTGCCAGAATAGTTTGAATACGCCATGGGTGTGCTGCCAAAAATAAATATATACAAACAAAATAAAATGAAAATCTTAGAAACATAAATTGTTTTACCAGCAATAACGACACTGTCCTCTGAGAGGTTTTTCCCAACCTGCTTCTATTAGACCTGCAGGCTTTCTACTCGTTCCTCTTTAAACCATTTCGGGTTTCCTCCTGTTACGGTGCATTTGGCACGCGCCTCTCCTTATTGTTCCTCGCGGAGGGCACGCTCTGCATAGACACTTACATGCTAATTATCGCCAGATGTACACCCACCCCTTTGTCTACCAAGATTATACTTTTATTTTATGGCCCTGGAATGAGCAGAAGTTTTTTTTGTTCTCGATATCCTTCCCTTTTTATGCGGACTGTGGACGTTTTGTTCAAGCTGTTCCCCTTTCTCCTTTATTTCGACTATTTTAGCAATGTGGCACGAGCCCAAAGGTTTTTGCCGCCTTTGAGCAGTAGGCTGCCCCTAAAAATGCCACAAAAACAGGGAAAAAA